CTTGGCGAAGCTGTTTTGTAGAATGGAGTACAGCCCTCTGCAGGCTGCAGCTACTGCATGCTGGCTGAATATGCAAAGATTATGTCAAAAAATTAATTTTTGTATTTATATATGCCAAAGTCTTAGGTCCACACTGGTAGGCACAGGGCTAGCAGCATCGGATGGTGTTTTTCCCCTGTGTAGTCAGTGCAGAGGAATGGTCCGTATTGGAGAACATGATCCTCAAAGCACTGTATGGAGCAGGTGATCAATCAGTGTCCTTGACTGGGTTTAGGTAGAGCTGGAGTTGCTGCTGCTATGCTGTGGAAGAGTCCGTTTCTGTTCATGTGTTCTTGGCTAAAATACAATTGACAACTTCGTAGGCAGGCAAAGTTGTACAGCAGTTGGAGGGGAAGGATGGCGCTTGACTCGTAATGGAAATGAGTAGAAAAAGCATCACCATTGTGCCACTGGGGTGTAGGTACAGGGTATTCAGAAAATATGCCTCATCAGCATTATCTAATAATTTTCAGATTTTCTTCCAGGAAATGAATATCACTTTAATCAGTTGAAACTTAACTGAACTCCCTGGCCTTAAAAGTTGTGTTGTTTTTATAACAGGTAACATATTTTATGTATGATGAAATATTTAAAAGAGGTCTGCAGGAAAAATAAGTGCCAGTGCTGTTTAACCTGCAGCCTATTGTGTACATTTTTTCTTTCATGAGGATTCTTTGTATTTCTTTTGAAGAGGCATTTAAAATACAGAAAAGATATTGTCCAAGAATTCAAGTATGCAAAATTGCAGTAGTTGGTTGTTGTTTACTTACAATTATTTTTTTCTGAAATTTATAATTTTCTAGACCTAGAAATGCATTTTTAGAATGCTGGAGTTGTACACAAATACATTATTCAGCCTACTCTGCATGAATGGGTTAGCTGTAAGAAGAAATACTATCCACATCCATGTTGGCATAAAATACGTGCATATGTAACAGTGTAATGGCTTTAAATGCTTTCCTCGTATAACTCAACTGGTTTTTGGTGGAGTCATCAAAGATAAATTTTAGCTAATATCTACAGGCAGGGCTTCAGCAAATAAAAATTTTGTAAATGTGCAGTGATAGAAAATAGAAATATAACAGCCTTATAGAAATAGTTTTACCATCTATGTGCTGATGGCCCCTATTCTGTGTAACAACTTTTTTCATAGTAACTCCTTTGGAATTGTTCACAAAACAGTGAAGTCAGGTCAAGCATTTCTGACAGGTACCATGCCTCCCAGTTTCACTTAACAACCAGTGTAGCACATGAGTTCAAAATACCCTGATGAACAACTAACAGGTTCAATTTTGCCTATAATTTTTTTTTTCCTATGGCAATAGTCACCAGATACTCCAAAAATCTTTTTAGCCTCTGCTATACTGACAGGTGGGATGCCACAGGGAAGGAGACTGAAGTGTCAGTTCTCCATGCACTGGCAGACTGGAAAGCTGGGGTTGCTGCTGAATAATAATACGCTGCCCTCCTACAAATGCTTCCCTGGCAATCCTGGGCTGTGTGGTTGTGTGTGAACAGCATTCAGATTTGCCACCATCCTGAAATGTTATTATCTCAACACAAAATGCCAATATAATGGGGTGGAAATGTAGAATCAGGGATGCAGATCTTCTGCGAGTAGTGAGTTATATATAATACAAAGAACCGTTTCTTTTTCCAAGGAGATTTTGCTTTCATTTAGGCCCCATAATTGACTGACTGTAAGCTCCTTAACTTTTTCTCATAATGCAGAGTTGGAATTTTTGCTGTTCATTTTGAGGCCCAGAGTGGAAGTCTTCAGTATAGCTACTGGAAAGCTACAAAATATGTGCTTCTCATAGTAAGAGGGAGAGAGAGGAGGATATAGGTTTTTAATTGACATTTTGTTCTGAAATTCCCTTCTCCTTTCACACAGAGCATCATCCCCCCCCTTTTCATAGTATAGCTACCCCTTATTTGTAGGTGTAAATCTAAAACATCAGCAATGTTCCAGATACGCTATACTGTAGCAAAATTTTATTCTTGGATCTTTAGGCTAAAACCAGTCTTAAGCTGTGTGAAAGATCCATGGGCAGACGGTTTAGACTGTGAATCTCAGAAGGGTATGCTAAAAAGGGAATCATATGCCTCCTGAGCTGGCAGATAACTGATTCTCTCTTAGCAAGACAGGTGTTTTTCTCATATATAAAAATTAAGAATTGGAAACAGTTCAAAAGTAGTGTCACTGCTAACGGGAGGACTGAACTGATAGATTTGCAAGAAAAGATTAAAGAAAGCTATATCCAGCCCAGCTAAGTAACAGAAAGGTTCATCAATAATTGAAAGGTGTCAGCCCCAAAGTGAGAGTATTTAGAACTACAAAAGGAAAAATAACTAGGAATGACATAAGAAAGTTATTTAAATAAAAAAAAAGTAGTAAAAATAAATACGTTGAATAGCAATGAAAACTGTTCGACTGAGGAGTAGTTCCATAAAAAGAGTGATTGCAAACATGACAATCGCATGGATTTGCTCCATGGATTTGAATTCCCTAGATTTGTAAATGGATAGGGCAAAAATGCTAAAAAGGCTCTATTTTACTGCATGGATCAATCATGTGTTGAAGGTAGATGGCTGGGATGATCCCTTCTGGCTCTTCAATCTCTTTCTTGCCCCATGCACTTTAACTGAGGCTCACTGTGATCTTATCTGTGAAAAGCAGTATCTTTGTGGGAACCTGAACTGTGATATTATCAGGTCTGCTCTAAGGATCTTGTATATACCACTTCATCACAGATATTATTGACAGTAAGTGCTTTTACCATTTTTATGTATTCTCACTGTAAGTTGTTTTACAGCAGGGCAGCCAAATCAAGAGAATTTTTCCTGACCAGCTGAGCAGCTGATAAAGTCTCTTTACAAGCACTTAGGGGAATTCAATGCAGTAGGACGTTAAAAGGGTGGGTTAGGACAAAAGCGGGTGTCAAAACATAACCCTCTGCTCTTGCCGTCACCTCAAAGGTTATCTCCCCGCATGTAAAATTACTCCTCTTTTGAACCTCACTTTTCCTTAATTCCTATGTTTGGAAAGTCCATCTGATCCTCTTCAGGATTCATTTTCCCCCTTCTGATCTTCTGCTTTTGTCTCCTGTTTCCCTCCCTTGCTGTCTGCACATCATGATTCGTTTTCAGGCTGAGTCATTATCCTTTTAAATGCTCCTAGAAAGAGCTTTTTTCTCAGTCATGCTATCTATTTCTTAGCCAAGTGGTGCCTGCAGGAAGATCAGAATAACCCAAGCTGGGAAGAGCTCTGTGAGTTGCCGTGCCTAAAGACAAGCATACAAGTTGTATTGTTTGTTAACAGCAAGTTCACCTCTATCCCTTATTCCCTGGCTGTTTAGATAAACCTTAACCTCCACTGGGAGGCAAAAAAAACCCCATTCTTGACCATTTTCAGAGCCTGAAGATTAAAACTGACCCAGTCCTGCATTTGTGTGTGTGTATATTTTGAAAAGAATTTTCTTCGTCCTGCCAATCATGCGGAGTCCACAGATAATATGACTCCCTTTCTGCTCCAAAATCTGCACAAATCCTCCACGTACCATAGCTACGAATGGAAATAGGAAATATTCCCTTTCCAGGCCTGCAGTGCCTAATTCAGATTGATTATGCATGAAAAGGAATGTGTCCCAAATGCAATCGTTCCTTGTGCACTACATCTTGTGAGCAAGCAGCCGGTGTGGCTTGCTTCAGTAACTTTTATATGTAAACAGTCTTTAAAAACATAATCTACATTGTCAAAGCCTAATCTAAATGATGTACTGACATTGCTTATTTTGATATGCTGACTTGGTTTTGAATTCTCTCTGGGTTGCCTGGCCCCAGATGGCCTTTTTGTGTTTTGTTTACTTTTCTCTTAGCTGTCACATATTTATTCCCATTAGATGTACAAAGTCAATGGGTTCAGCCTAGTTTTACAGCTTAGTTGGCTAATATGGCATAGGGAAAGCGCTGAGTGAAGCCAAGCAGCGGGTCAGGGAAAAAGCAATGTGATTCTTCAGGTCTGACATAGAGACCAACAAAACAGAAAACTGGTAGAAGATCTGGTAGAGCAGCTAGAGATTTTTTTTTTTTTTTCAGAAAAACATGATTTGACTGAAAAGTAGAAATCTGCTGAAATAAGGAAGGATTTGTTTAGACTGAATTTCTGTTTTTAAAAGCTTGCTTCTAAATAAATGCTGAAATGTTTTATACATCCCATATATTTAAATGGAAAAAAAAATCTGGATTTGTTTCAAATGTGAATGGATAGTAAAATGTTACTTCAAAAGCTTTTCAATATAATGAGTTGTTTCGAATTTATCTTAGTCAAACTGTTAAAATGGCTTACATGATCTTGCTGTACAAAAGTCTTTGAAGATATGTGAAAACCATTCATGCCAAGAAAAATAATCCCCAAAAATCTAGTTGGTGTGATTTAGCCCACAATCATGCACAGAGCCCAAAAGACACACAGGTGTTCATGACATCTACGGCAACCTGAAGCATGACTGAAGTGTGGACCATCTTGAACAGAGGTCTTCCATCTGGATAGCCATGCCTACCCTCCCGCGCTTCTCCCAACGTGAATACCTACCTTCCCTCTAAATGGCTGTTTTTATGGCTGAAAGAAAAACTTAGTGGGGGACTTGGGTGGAATTGATGGAGGGAGTCTGATGTTTCCTTTGTTCCCGGAAGAGGGACGGTAGAGTTTCCTGCACGGAGCTGTTTCACTGATGGCACGTTGTTTTCAGATCACGTTTCTTCCATTTCTGCTGAGGTGCTCAGCCAAAGCACCGCGTGGCACCGGTCCCAGTGCACTTTTTGTGCTGACAGCTGTTGGGCACCCAAACTTTACTTTCCTTAAAGAACAAACTGTGCTGAAACGGCCACGTTTTTAGGTGCACTGACCTCCTTTTGGACTTGACAGTCTGTAGTCTGAGCTTTTCCTCTGTTTACCACAGGTGAAATATGGGAACTATGCCTTTGTATGGGACGCAGCAGTACTGGAGTACGTGGCCATCAACGACGCAGACTGTTCTTTTTACACGGTCGGGAACACTGTTGCGGACAGAGGATATGGGATTGCACTGCAGCACGGCAGCCCCTACCGAGACGTTTTCTCACAAAGGTAAGGGTTTGGAGAAGGAGGAGCATGTTCTAAGGGAAGGTCTCTCTCAGCTCTGGACCCTTCTTTTAATTTAATTTTCTGTGAAGGGAAAACATCTTGTGCTTGCAATCCACTTCATTTCTTACATAGGCATTCATTTCCTTGGCGACGTAGGATTACTCACTTTTCTAGAAACTGCATTAAAATACTTTGTGTTGCTCTTATTTGAATTGTTCTTGTTTCTTTTGGAAAACATTAGTGAGACAGGCTGAACTTCATTAGTAGGAAAATGAGGAGAGTTGCTTCATTTGTTATAGAGGGACAGCATAACTCAACCCTTCCTGTTACAGAAGCCTTTTCTTAAAGCGAAAAAAGTAAACTTGGACACTGATGGGAAAATCGAAGGGGATGAACAAGAACATATGATGTTTCAGTGAAAAGACCCCTATTCATACCCAAAAGCTTAGATGCTTATCCCAATACTAATCAATCTCTTGGGCTACAAAAGTGAGATCTCCAGAGATGCTTCTGGTACTGTGTTTCTACTAGGATCAGAAATACTAAATTAATTGTATGTATTGTGCCTTTGCAGTATTTGTGCTTCACTCTAGTATTGATTCCTAAATCAGGATGTGTGTGAAATATAAAAAACAACCAAACGTTTAAAAAGTGTAATATCTGTTGTCTGGCGTTTAGGAGAAGATGTGGGCTAATCTCATGATCCTTTTTCATTCTGAACCTATTCTCTCAACCCGGTTTCTAATGGTTGCATGTAGCAAAATTTTACAGTTGCTGTGATGGAATTTCTTTTATGTGGTTACCATAATGAACGTGAACCATTACGTCATACAAATATGCTTCATTCAGGCTATTGACTTTGCCTTCGGTCCGTAGAATGAGGTAGAGGGAAAAAGTAGTCAGTAAGTAACACTATGCAGATTCAGAGGAATCAGTGTCTGCTCACACATACTTCATGAACAGAGAAGGCTTGAATTCTTTGAATCTGTTCTATGTTGGGAGTGATTTGGCTGAATTTTGTGCTGACGTAGCAATAACATAATACAAATGTTCACAGGATCAACGAAAATTTCAATGGAACATGTATATGCTTTATATATTACAATTAGAATGATAGGCAATTATTTATTTAATACTTTAATACTTTAATGTTCCAGCCATGACCAGGCTGGCTCTGCTAAAAATCTCTGGCTCTGTAATGTTCGGGGTCTCCACGCAAAACAAAGGAGCAAAATTTCTTCCTGTAATCTTTCTAAGAAATGCTTCCAGCCGTTAAAGATCTCAGGTGCTATTCAAGGTGTTAAGTCATCCTCTTCAGAGCATTACCCATGTGAGCTTGAATACAAAAATTCGAAGACGTAGGGGAGTTTCATAGGCTGTCTCTTTACTAAATACAGTGAACCTGTAAATACAGTGGCTCATGCCTGCACAGATGAGCATTCTTCATCCCCACCACCACTGCACTCCAAGTCAAGGTGGATGTATCCAAACCGCCCCTTAGGGACCTCTTCTGACATCATTTATATACTTGTTATAGTTCTTGGTACATGGGGGAAATGGTCATGGCTGGTTCTGGTAAGCAATTATCTTCTTCGTTGCAGTATTCAGTACCTGAAGAGGCTAGGTTATATCTTCTTCTGATACACTGCCTTTATCGACTTCTGGATCATTGGTCTGTGCAGGCCTGACATTTCCCAGTACAATTTTACTTTGTAATGAAATTTCAGCATGTCAGTGTATTATTATATCTTGAAGCTGTAGGAAAGCAGAAAGAAGCATAAAAATTTGCACATATATAACTCTCTTTATCTGAGGTTCTTTGAAGAAATATTTAAACATTAGCGTCTCTAAGTGGAAAGTAAATGCCATTTCCATTTAATGCTTAGGGAATCCATAGCATAAGGAGACTTAAATGAATTCCCAAGGTCAGATGTTTTTCCCTGGTGGAATGAGGGATCACAGGTACTCAGATTTCCTCATTTTCCATTTCCTGCTATAGTTATCAGAGTTCAGGTGGATGAAGAAGGGGATTATTTGTGAGATATTGGGCCACAGAAGGGTCTGGATGGATACGCAAAACTTACCACTGATGAGAGAGTAACTCATTGCATTATCAAGAGTAATGGTTGAACAGAGAAATTGGTATTTGCTTGGAGTGATGCTACCTGCAGGAGAATTTAGAGAGCCTGAGATATATATTCTGAAAATATGTGTGCTGCCCCTTAAATTTTTATTTCTGCATTATGAAATCATTTTATATCGCACTTCTAATTATGTCCATAAATATAAATTTACATTTGAAGCTGTGAAACACCATATAAGAAACAAACACATGAAAGAGAAAGCATGCTTACAAGATAGCTTACAAGGTTTTGTTCTAAAAACCCTTCAGTGCTGTTCCTTATGATTACTTCCATGTGGTTTTCACAAATCATCCTTACTTTTCTTCCAAATGAAAAGGCTGAACAACCTTCAGCTGCTGCAGCCTGCATGCTAAATAGAGAGGGAAATAGATTTCACTGTATAGGATTAGCAAATGATCACATGAATATTTCACATTCTTTAATGCAGTAGGGAACTGGTTTGAAATATATTGGCATTTCTTGATCTTTCCCAAAATAAATATATTTATGTGAAAATATAGGGCTTCTCTTTTATGAAATTTCGTATAAACCCATAAGCTGCACAGTGTTAAAACCCTAGGGTGCAGCTGTAAAAGGTCTGGCAAGCTTACAGGAGATTTTGGTCTCAGTGCAGGAAGCACGGGCACGAGTTTAAGGCTTTTCATTACCTTTTCTGAACATTCAGGCGATTCCCAGAGAAACAGGAAAAGAGACAGAGAGGTGTAAACACCCACGCCTTCTCTCCAATGCTATGGGGCATGAGCTGCAGTCAAGATAACACTGTGGTAAAGTTTAGGCATTTGGGATTTCCAAAAACACTCTTATGTTTGGGATGTCTACTATGTTGTCCTTCATGGGATTAACACATGCAAAATATTGTGGCCTTTGGGGACTGCAATGATATTCACCTGCTCTGTGAAGTATTCCAGTCTCTACAGGAGTTTACTCATCAGTTAGGCTACTTAAGAAAGGCATTAAACCTGCAATCAGTTTGAAACGCTGAGATGCCATCAAAACACATCCAGGGCCTTGCAAAAATTAAATTCCCTGATGTCATTTCCTCCTGTAACTGACCATGATGGTGTGCCCCTTTATACCACCAGCAGTTTGTGAGGTGCTAAAAAGAAGCCTGAAACAACTGATAACATTGTGAGAACCAAAGCCGTGGTGATGGTCCTAGTGGCCGTGTACCTGCGTTTGGGACGTGGGACCACAGCTGATGACCACCTGGTTATCTGGTACCCACCGCACTGAAGAAGCACACAGTAAAGCTGCAGTGCCCTGAGCACGGTGCAGAGCCGGTGCTGAGCCACCCTGCTCCCAGCCTCAAACTGCTGCTACCAGCTAGTGTCCGTGTATTTGCATGGGACGTGGTCCTGCCAGTATGGAATGAGCCTTCAGTTACCAAGGAACCAGAAGTTAAAATGCTTATATTAGGCTACAGCTAAATTAACACAAAAGGTTCAGTATGTACTTGATTTTAAATTGATGCAATTAAGCAAGTATTATACGGGAATGTGCTGCCTTTGAAGTACACTTGCTTGCATTGGTTCATATTGTGTTTATAGTTTTACAGATGTAGGGTGATGCCTATACCCTTTAGAGAGAAGAGCAAGTTTGGGGATAGTGAAATATTAGTGAAGAGTGAGGCAAAATGCACATCACTTAGAAACTCCATGCGCATTTGCTGGGCTTTTAAAAAATTCATTCCAGCCACACCACAGAAAATGAAACCCTGTCCAGGATTATTCTTTCCAGACTCAAGGAAATCTAATGTTTTGGGGATGAACAAAATGTTTTTGATGAGAAAAGTTATACCGTTCAAAGTGCAATATCAATATGCCTTCAAAAAAGCATTTTGTGCAGGTACGGTTTAGTGAAGGAGAAAGGTAGCCAACTGAAAGCACTGTAAAGAAACTGGTCTTTGAGACCTTTCTTTTTGGCATGCAGAAAATCTCTTCTAAGCCAAAACAAAGACATGAGCAGCAGTGACTGCTCTGACTTCAGAATGAGATTGGCTTTTTGCTGTATTGGGATGGCAAAGTGGCCAGCGGGGGTCCCACTGTGACCACAGTAGTGCCGGTGACCATTCTGTGCCTAGCGCGCTCTCTGAAAACAGGTCCTTCAAGCCCATCCTGCAAATAGGTGTGGGGCTGTAGCACAAATAATATAGAAAATAATTTGGGTAACATTCGAATGATAGAGCTGTCGTAGCATCCTGACGACTTCATTCACGTGTTGCAGATCTTAACAAACATGTCTGGCCATGCCATTAGGCAGCCAGTTGATGTGCTCAGGTAGATTGCTGTCCCCTTTTCTTTGCCACTAAGACTTAACCTTCTGAGCACCAGCAGCCTCCAGGCAGCATGTCGGTTTTCTCTCTCTATATATTTTTCTTTCACAGTAATGACAGGGGCTTTAATAATAGGAACTGCCAAATTTTGTAGGAGAGTTTGAAGAGGATGTGTCATTTGGTTCAGGAGGAATTGTGCGCTGGCACTAAATTTGACACCTGTTAAGAAGTCTTTTGAGCCCTAAACTTTAAAACTTCCATTGCACCCCTGGGAGGTATAAATATAATTGCAAACTCTTTTCAGAGTGTTTCATAGGATGTCAGTTCTTCCTACAGTGCAGCAGCAATGGCTCAGGCGCTGCACTGGTGGCTGGCTTTTGGTGGGGTCAAGGAGGGGGTGGCAGCAAAGTGCTCAAGTCCCCACTCACGTCCCCGCTTCCTATGCTGGCTGACTCTCTTCTTCTGCAACCTGTTGGAGGCAGAGGGAGAGGAAACACTAATCTCATACTCGTCAGAGGCCAGCAGCCGGCTTTTCACTTAAGTAACTAGAAGCTGTCAATACCCAGTACTGCTGAAAAATCAAGCCG